TTTTTTTTATATATGTTAAAATTAATTTGTTAATAATTGATCGCGTCATACAAATGGTAATTTTCCTTATATAATAAATATTTTGATTCATGTCTAATAAAATTAAATGGAAGCATTTTTAACGAATTTTCACTATAAAGATGATTAAAAAGTATTAGAATTAGTTATTATTAGACTTACATTGTTATTATTTTATATTCATCATCATACCGAAGAATAATAAACCAAATAGAGATTTTATTATATTACAATTTATCATTATTGTTGTTTTTATTAGAACCATTATTATAAATTCTTATATCTTCGATACAATATGCTAATATAATAAGCTTTATATATTCGATAGTTGTTATATCTTCAATACTCGTGCTAAAAATAGATATTATAATAAATATTATTAAATTCCTATACCTATCTACTATTTAATATATCTTTGAATGATTAATTGACTTACCATCATACAAAATATTATATTAAGACTTCACGAAAATATTCTTCTTTACTTGTATTTTTGGATATTATTCTTCTATTAATTTTCGTTAAAAATAAATCAATGTAAATTAATTAATTATAAAAAGTATAAAACTAATTGGGTCAAGTATTTAACACTTTAACGTCCATCTTTCTCTTGATTCTTATTATTCTCATGATGAATACTTTTAGATTGAAAATTTTTAAAAGTTGGTTTATCCATTTTTCCTTTTCCTTTCTATAAAAAATTTATTGCGTCGGTATTAACTATTAAAGAAATACATAATTAAGATAAATATTGTATAAAATAAATAATAAATCATAAATTTATAATAATCTTGATCTAATTTAAATTCTTTTAAATAAAAAATTTGATATATCATGTTAAAATAAACGATAAAATAAATTTAGTTTTTATTTAAATTATAAATTAAATTAATAATATATTACACATACTTATATCAATTTCAACTCCCTCACATATTTATTTTCTATTGAGTCGAAATTCAAAGTCTGTTATACATGTTACACGTTTAAAACGCTTAAATGAAGAGCTCGAACAGACCCCGTTGCATTTATATAAAATAAAATAAAAAATACAATAATAAAAAATTATAAAAAAAAATAATAAAGAAGTCAAAAATAAATAGTCCGGAACAAGCCAATTGTATGCAATAATTGTAAAAATGATACTAAGATATTACCTAATGTTGATTATTGAAAATAATAATAATAAAGAAATGTAACAGACAGTTAAAAAATTAGAATAACGCTAAACATATTAAATTGATTAAATTGATTATTGTAAGCAGCAAAAATTCAAACAATCTGAATGGATGAATATGCGAAAGTTACCAATTTTATCATTCGCCCTATGAAGATATTTATATTTCATTTGCATCTTATCTTACTTTTTTGTATTATAAATTATGAATAATAAATTGTTTTTTTTTTGTCATCAAATAATATAAAATAAACGAAATTTATATGTAATGGAAATATCTATGTATGTTTATTGATATATAAATGCAAATAAAAAAAAAAGAAATAAACCACTAATCTCTATAATATCTAGATATAATATGTAAAAAAAAACAAAATAATGGATTATATACTATAGTTATGAATATTTAATAATAAAAAATAATTATTATATCGGAAAACAATAATAATCAAGAACTCATTTGTTGAAGTTAATAAATAGTGTGATATTTTTGTCTAAGATTTTTTCGGGACATTGTTACATGAATTATTAGATCGAGGAAGAGGACAGGGACGAGACAAGTAAGAGGATATGACAAGTTCGTTTATGGATAATTTGTTATACATATTTTCTAAATTATCAGTTTTAACAAAATGAATTTGCATTTATTACCAGCAAAAAATATTTATCTGAAAACGTTTTTGTCAAGTCTTGCTCCGCAGAACTTTACATCCCCAGCGTCTGTTTCAGAATTAAACAATTAATATCCACAGTTTATTAAATAAAAGAAATAATAATTTAAAACCTGTTACTTACATTGTTTGCCTGTACCTTGAGTCCATCCGCCAAAAGGTCTGTAATTATTTAAAACAGGTTTTCCATCGTAAATAGCATACCATAATGGAAGGCTTGAGTCCAAAACCCAAGTTTTATTTCCAGTAATTGTTTCCCATTGATGTTGATTCTGGATTTGCAAATTATTACATGTCAGCTTTCCTTGCAAGAGAAGAGAAATAAATATGTAAAAAATTACCTACCGAATATATACCGAATTTCCAACCAGTGGATTTCCAAGCGGCATGAAATTTTTTCAATATTTGTCGGTTTTTAACCGAACCCAATTTCCAATTACCAGCGGGAGGATCCACTTCAATATCTAACCAAACTCTTTGAATTGTGACCCGATGTGTTTTAATCAATTGAACCAATTCATTGACTTGTTGTTGAGGAGTTTTACAAGTTGACTTTCCGGTACATGGGAACATGTATACATCAATGTAGGTGTACCCGGCTTTTTTAGCATTGTTGTAATTTTTTAAGAAATTAGGATCGATTCCACCTCCAGGAGTATCGCCATAAGCTTCACGGTAACCACGAATAATCAAACGTTCATAGCCTAAATTTTTGGTACATTTGAAGGTAGCTACTGATGTTAAAGCAGAAACGTCGACTGCAAGTCTGGCAAACGCCTGGTTTGTCATTGAAGCGACGACGGTAAAGATGGCTAAGGCAGTAAATAAGAGATTCATTTTATTGTTTGTTATTTAATTTAATGGTTATCTGAGCTAAGGTGAACTAAATCGAAGTGTATTTATACTTTTTTGAATATTAAAATCTCAACTAAACGCGTGTATACATGCAATAATTGGAATAAAAATAAATCAAAACTCCACAGTTCTTCTTATCGCTGATTAAGATAAAAATAGTAATATGAATAAAAGTACCTCATTATATGCACAAGTTGTTTCATATCGAAGTGTATTTATACTTGTTTAAATATTAAAATCTCAACTAAACGCGCGTATACATGCAATAATTAGAATAAAAATACAAGTTGTTTCATATTTTCCATTTCGTGACTGAAACAAGCATCACGATGAAGCAAACCTGAATCATTTCGAGAAAATTCGTTTTGACTTGTCTTAAAGAATATGCCTTTTGTTTCTCAACCTTCTCGAATTTCGTGTAACATAAGAACTAATCCACGTTCTTGCGTCACACAAGATATCAAATAATTTCGGTATTGTTATTCCGCTTTTAGAATATGGGACACAAGGAAAATTTGTTCTTTGTTTAATTTTTATTAATTCGTTAACAATGGAAATTTAAAACCTGAACTATTAAAATGATGATGTGGATGGACAATATTAATTCATTAACAATAGGAATTTTGAAAACCGAACAATTAAAATGATCTACGACACATAAATGAATCTAGTTGTCACAACATGTTATATATCTTATTTGTAACAACCATCATATTAACCAAAATTTGATTGGCTAATTACAAGTTGTTATATAACATGTTG